GCTTTGTGCGTGTTTTATCATGATCGTGGCACAACACGCATGCCTTGAGTGTGCTTGAAAGCGCGAGCGTTTCGTGAGCTTTAGAACGGACGGTTTATGAGCAATGGATGCACTCATTAAACTTCACTAAACTAAACTAAAAACTAAAAATAAAAAAACTAAAAACTAAAAATTAAAAACTAAAAACTAAAAAATTAAAAACTAAAAATTAAAAACAAAAAAACTAAAAAACTAAAAAACTGGAGGCTTTGTCTAGTTGGTTTCACCACACACGTTGTCTACCATGTCACACTACATGGCCAGCACACGTGTTTGAACGATCGTTATCCTAAGCATTGCTGGGGTAATACTTCTTCTGTGACTCGAACGCTGTCATGCAGGTGCAGTTCGTATAGAAAAACACAAAGTTTTTATACTTATTTTTCTTTTCACAAAACGACTAAAATCACTAAATAGAATTGTTTTATGCAGTGTTGCAATCCTCAACAGCAAGGATCTGGCATATGAATGAATAAATTCTGGAAGTGTACAAAACCTGAAGTGCGGAAAAGTCTACATCAGAAATAGAAAAAAAACTCTTAATAAAATATGATTTCCGATGACGTATTTAAATTCGTGCCATTTCCTAACTACAAGAAATTGAAATTGCGATATTGAGCATCAAATGCTTTGAGTGCCGTTGATGCAGGTATGACCTAAATCAAAGTACAGTCCACCTGAAGGTAACGAAATATTCTGGCAGACAGACCAACATGCAGCAGCACGACATCAGCCGTGAGGTTGTTCGTCGCTTCTACGAGACACGGGAGTATAAATATACTTTTTGGTTCATTCAGAAAATCTCTACATTATGTACTTGTTCAAACTCGATCTTTCTGAGCACGATGTAAAAAAATGTTAGTCTCCAGAAAATCGGTAAGTATTTAATCGAAGTTAAATGACAGCTAAATGTCATATACAGGGTATAAAAGTCGTGGAAATACACGTGGCATTTCCAAAACTGAACATTTTTCCAGTGGTCTTACGCGGGGAATTGTGTGGTTATTTCAACGTTTCCTGATGATGTGCTTTTAGGTGGAATTTCTCGCCTGCTGAATTCTAATTTGCAATTCGCTGGATTAGCGGACTCGAACATTGGTGTCTAGCGCTTCTGCTTCAACTGTCAGTTATTGGCTTGACTTGGTCACAAATTGTTCACAAGTTAAACGGTTGCATGCAGTTTGATAGCGAGTAATATAGAGTGAGTTTTTGTTTAATTTACATCATAGAGAAGACATTATAGTTAAAAATTATGGCTTTCCATAATTTTTGCAGTTAAATAAAGAAACTTGTAAAAAATTAGAAATTCATGGTTCAATACCTTTTAGCCCTGTTCAACGCAATGGCTGTAAGTCATTTTAAAACGAATTACTACATGCATATTTCACGTAGGAAATTGGAAAGCGAGCAGTCGTGAAGTTTACTCTCGGCGTTAATCCTTCGTGAATACAGGCTAAGATAGGCTTAAAAAAATAAATTTGAACCTGGGAGTACTTGAAACGAAGATGAACATAGAATTTAGCCCAGGTCGGATATCGTGCAGCTTCTTACATAGCAGCGACACCGCGACTGGTGTGACAATCACAATGACTTTGGCCGAACTTTACATTGAATTTAGTTTGTTTGCAACCAATATTTTACTTCAAACACATTCTATTTAATCAGTCCATTATACCAAGCGATTCCTCAAACCGAGCTTTGTCTTCGTTCGTGTGTTGCCGTATTAACTTTTACACTATCTCTTGGAATTAAAAAATAATGTTTATTTATTTTTTCTTTGAAAACGTAATACTGACTTCGTAAATAGCCACGTGGCTTTTACGGATCAGGACATCTGAAAATAGTAAATTACTGAAATTAGTCAGTTAATATAATTGCGTTATATAATACGCTTCCGCAAAACGTAAAACGAGACTGACGGCAAGATGGGAAATTTAACGTTCAATTGCGATTCGACCGCGCGTACTTGGCTGCAGGCCTCCCACAAAACGTCTATCAGTCGACCAACAATTTAAGTGCTTCTGGTTGTGATCACCCTTCTGGTCCGCAAAAAATGCGCTAAAGCAGCCTTGAAACGGCTTATTTACCCCTTCTACGAGTCCAAGTTGCTTCCTTAATGTTGGAAAAATGTCATCGCATATTAACATTTTCAGGAATGACATCAAATGAAGAAGAGCGAATGGAAACATTTTTCCTGGAGGTCTGAGCTATGAGCCTATCTACCTACATACGGTCAAAGCTTGGTTACTAGCTTTAGTTTTAAACTACTCTAACAATATAGTTTTTGAAATACGAGTATATTCCAACGTCGAATGATTGAAATCGAGTTATTCAATTTTACCACGATACATCTCGGGCTGTCCTTCAATCGAATTGGTATTGAATCACAAAAATAAAAGTTATCCTCCGGGGATTGATGAATGACGATGTTACTAAACATAAAAAGTCGTCATTAGAAATCTTTTAAGTTTGATACATAAACCTATGTGCCTTCTGCTGAATTTCAAGGTGGTCTGTAGTCTGTACTCGTAAATGTGAGCCTGAATTAAACGCTGTGAATACACCTTTTGTGTAGCCGTGGATCGAGATGCATTTTCTGGATTATACATACACCCTTTTGGTAGGTTGTTATCAGGGACCAATATGCACCTGCGCACTGAACTTACAACAAACCAATAACAGAATATCGAGTTATTCTGTCCCTTTTTATTCTATGACAAAAAAAAACTACAGAATATGATTCCAACATAAAATTATTTCTATTGCAAGAAAAAAATTTCAAACTGGATACTCGAAAGTAACGTTAGAAAATCTAGGTCTTGTTTCCTATCAAAGATCTTGTTATCGCACAGCACAGGCTGCGTAAAGACGTTATACGCATGTCATTCGGAAAGTTGGTCGAGTCTGGGATTGAAAAACTGTCTTTAGTCGAGAAGTTTATCTAAGTTATAATTGTATACAATTATAGTTCATAATAATTTCATACAGTTATTTAATACAACGGTATGCTTATTCGATAATATTATATTTTATAGAACGGTATAAGCGTTGGACAAATTTGTTCTGAATTGAATCACTTCAAATTTAAGTGAACATACTTAGTCAACCAGAAATATTTTACTCCTAAACATGAACAATTAAATCTGTATTATAATCAGGGATTAAAATAATGCTCTCAAGCATTAGCTTATAGAAGCAGAGTTGAGTAAGCTAATAAAAAAGAACAATTTTATGTTATTATGCAAAGTTTTGTTGCAGTCAACGTGGATTCCCGAGTCAAAAAGGATTCCCGAGAAATGAAAATTCTTCCATTGCCATTAACACGTCTTAAATCGCTATATAAAGTATTGTCTTCTCCTAATGTTGTACAAAAAGTTGACTTGTGAAAAGATTCATCTCATAATTGTTGTAGGCGTGTTATTTTATTTGTGTTTTATTTATTTTCAATTAGTGGGTAACTTAATCTTTTTTATTATCAATTAGTGGGTCACCGAAAAGTGACGAAATCAAATATTTTGTGTGTATTATGATTCAGTTCGAATAACCTCAATAACATATCAAATCATCATCAGTTAAAAATTATAAAGCATTCAAGTTCAATCCACAGATAAAGCCAGAGATTAAAACCTAAGTAATGGAAAGGGTTGAACGAAACATAACATGCTATCGATTACCAATATCAAGAGGATAAAAACAAGAGGATGTTATCAAGAGGATGTTACTGAGGGAACGATTCCGTCTAAAATATACAATGATTACAAAATACTCCAAAAAGCAAAAAATTTGATTACAAAATAATCCAAAATCCAAACCCTCAAAAATGGAATCAATCAAAGCTTGGTTCACACCACACTGTCAGTCACGGTCCAGTCCAATATTCTTTCATGCATTTCTATAGAAGCATTCACACCAGCCATGCAAGGCACCAGCCATGCCCATATATGGCGCATGTGAATGCTTCTATAGAAATGCATGAATGAATATAGGACCGTGACTGGTATATGCCTGGCTCGTGCCCGATGGTGTGGTGTTCCCCGCCTGTGTCCGGAACTTGCAGTTGCGTTTTCTCTGCATTTGGATCGTTCGTGACCTTGCGATTTAAGCAAACTAATGATTTGAGCATGAGTGAAAGGTATTAATTCTACGAATTTTCTCCTGAGCTTAGATTATCATTGTTCAATCGATTTTCGCCGATTAATGAGAAGTATTAAACGTAGAGTAATCAACTAAGTCCTTTGATCCCACACACTAATAACCAGATCCCTTTCATTTCTGGAAGTAGAGCATTCGACATCAATGGTGAAAGGGTTCTCGCTCAACGTGTTCTTAACGCACATATGTTCTGCTAATCACTTATTGCCAAGACGCGCGATTAGGAAAATTTATTTATATTGACGCGCTTTATTGAGCTTTCCTTGACGCACTCACGCAGCATATATGCGTTCAATTGCAGGTTTCACGTAAAAGCTTCCGAAATTTGTTAATATAAAAGAAAGAGGAATTTTTGAAGCGATGTAACTTCAAGGATGCCGATGAAACTGTTTTTAAAGATTTATAATTCTCGTCAATATATTATTTACTCTTTATTAATATTAACTTATATAATTTAAATTTATACGTGGGGAGTGACTCAATACGACGTGCGCATTAGCCTGAATCCTGTTTAGAAATTACAAAAAGGAATTTTATTTTAAATTCCTTTTTGTGGACAAGTATTCTCGGAATCAGATCTACATTTCAATGTAACATGCGAACTGTAATAACTGTTCATGTGAGCACCAAAAAAGTTGAAAAAAGCTAGTAAATCTATTATGCATTTTTAAAGCAGGAAATTAGATCTCATAAACTCGTAGTTTTATAATTTGTTAACTATAATGAGACTTAGGAATAAGCTGCCCAATCATCTCTAAAATAACCTCCTATCCTCTAAGGTCTAAACTTACTCACACGTTACCCTCTACTCACTTATTTTCGGTAGAATTTGTAGTCAAATTGGTGTCTGAAGTTTGTGCCTCTCCGTTCTTTTCACGAATCTCTCCGTTGGTTGCGAGCTCCTCAGCTATGGTCGTTAGTTGTACCATTTCTTCTTGCACTTTGTGGTTGTCACGGCACGTCACGCTAACCACAAATGAACTTTCAGTGTTACCGTGATGAGGTAGAGTTTCTCCAACGGTTATATTGTTATCAGTTCGTTCAGATCTGTACACTGACTTCCTGCCAGCGGGTCCATCAAGGCTTTTGAAGCATGGTAAGACCAACATAAATTCCTTCCTGAAGTTTTCGTTGAGCCACGCGTAAAGAAGAGGATTGTAGCAAGTAGATGACATGGCTAGGGTGTGAGTTATAAAGAAACACAGGTTATAGTAAGCTGATTTACTGGCTGACGCGTTGTAATCTCCCACCAAATGAATGGTGTTGAAAGGAAGCCAACAACCTCCGAAAATCGTCACCATCGCTATCAACATTCGGTTTGTTCTTCGTTTTTTCTCGCGATCTGATTCTTCTTTCTGGGATCCGCGTGAACCAGATTTGATGCGTATTCGTTCGTTCATACGAACCGAAATCATGACGTAGCAGTAAAGTATAATTATAAAAGGTACCCCGAATTGCATGATGGTCGTGAACGAACTAAAGATTCGCCTCATGAACTCCGATGGCCAAAATTCTTCGCAGAAAAGGACGTCTTCGTATAATTCTTGGTTCACATAATACGCATATGGCATCGTGGACGACATCGAAAAAAGCCAAATGCTGATGATAATCGAATAACAAACTATTAACTGTAGCTTTGGCCGGAAAGGATGAATGATCACGAAGTACCTGTCAACTGCAATAGACATGAGTGTGAGAGTAGATACGTAAACGCTGGTACCTTGTGTAACCGGTACCAGTTTGCAGAGTACTCTTCCAAAAGCCCACCTCCCCATGGCGAAATATAGAGGCGTAAACGGCACTGCCAAAACGCACAATAAAATATCAGCAAGAGCCAAGTTCGCGATGAAGAAGTTAGTAACGGTTTGCATATGCTTATTTTTGAACACCACATAGCAAACCAAACAGTTTCCGAATATCCCTAATGTGAATATAATCAAATAGACTAAGAAGAACACTGCCAACACAGAAGTATTTTTCATGACGTCATAAGGAACGCTGGTATTGTAAACGTTCCGATCGCTGTCGTCTGAAGTGTTCGTCTCGGAGACGTTCAACTCGCGCATGTCGTTCCAGAATGTCCAATTTTCTTGCATGGTTGCACTTTTCTAACTCAAAATAACATTAAAAAACGATATGAAGATCTACGTTATTTACTCCTCTGGGATGTATACGGGACAAATCACTAAAACAAATTCGCTGGGTTTTACCAGGATCTGGAAAAATATGATAATACATCAATAAATGTTTATAAATCATAAATAGCTTGAAGTAAATATTCGTAAGCACGGGTCGTCATTCAAGAGGCCCACATGTTCAAAGGATCGAGAAATTGATATTTAGATCGTTTACACATGCAATAATTGAATGGACTCTACCTATGTTATTCTCAAATAACCTTTAAAGAAGCATACCCAATTTTATGAAAAAAACGGACAATGATTCAAATTTACAAGCTATCTATACATCTATTTCTGAATATGGGCTGGAAATAAATTAATTTATTCAATTATTTTATATCCTAATCATAGCTTAATCCTGTCCAATGTCAGTGTAGTGTAGCTAAATTATGTTGTAGCTTAGTATAACAATATTTCAGTGAAGTCTCTTCTAACTAAAAGGTAGCCTATTCTTAGATTATCAGCTTAATAATATCCTTGTTGACTCAATTACGGAACTGATTTTTATATTACCATCAGGAATTGTTACGCAGTATATATGAATAAGTAAAGATATTTTAAAAAGGGACTAGATTTAAACATCATGCCGGAATGGAAATGATAAAAAGTCTACGGATGTTTCTCACTATGTTGTGGCGCGAGTAAGGCGAGGGTGAGGAGACGTAAGTACACACACCACCTCACACATCGCTGGCCACAGCGCTACTGAACCCAGTGCCGTGACATCCCACGTCTAATAATGGAACTATGCGCAATAAAATTAATACGGGAAAATAAATAAACGCTTTTGCCGTATTATCATTAAATGAATGAAATTACGCTTCTAAAGTTCACTTTTGTTATTTCATGTGCTGTAAATTGTTTCAAGTTTTCAAACTATTAATACTAATCCCTCATTACCGACGTTTAAGTATATCTCTAGTATATACCTATTCGTTGAAGACAATATAAATAATTTTATTCGTCTAAAATATTTGTTTAGATTTTTGAAAAAAAAGTTAATCTGTGTATTCAAAACATTCAACCTCCTCGTGCTCCCAAATTGTATTTTTTTCACACAGTATCGAAATAATTTTTATACACATTACAAATTAATTTTCCATGGATGAAAATCCGATCCTTGCTCGATTAAGCAACTCGTATATGGCTTTACAATCAGAGTAAAACAAGTTATTCGTGAGAAATTACTAATGTTATCAAATAAAAAAAAATATTTTTAGAAGTGTGGAGACTGGTGTTTCCATGGCGACGCCTAAGGCTACTTAAACGAAAAACTTCATCGGCCAAAGTTCGAAACTTTGCAGGAAGCGAACAAGTTTTTGGGTGAGAAATGCGCAACTGAATTCCGGTGTTTTTTTCGAATATCATTTTACTCGCGGTCTCGATAAAAAAATCACATTTCCTCTCTAGCCAACTTCGTGCTCATGCATTAATGTAATTTGTTTTTTGTTTCCGCTTTCTGATGCCCAACATGTTGCCTCGATTTCCATTGTTTGGTAAAGAAATAATTTCAAGCCTGATGCAGATTTTTCATATATGTCATCACTTCTTGATACTTTATAAACAAACTTCTTGTCAAAGCTACGATTAATTAATTTAATTAATTAAATACAGTTAAATTTCAATTAGGTACTTCTACAAAAGCGTTTATTTCAAATGATGAGCTTTAGTTAGACAGCGTAGCTCTCAGGAATAGCTCGTCTCTTTTTGATACCTCAAAAGCGCATTGTTCACGGGCTACAATAAGAAATATTCCTCAGATTCGTCAGCCATTGTTTCAAGCGGGACTTCAATATCAGAGATAAGAAATTGCATGGAACTACTGCGCTGACAGCGCACTGTTTCTAGACCATTTGTTGCCGTATGTTTTAGTTCAAATAAATATGATGTGTAGTGGATGGTTGTGATGGTGCTAGCAGTAATGGTTAGTTTGCGATGCACATCATTTACAGAAATATGATATGTTGTGAATTTTTGTGATGGTTTCAGCAGTAATAGTGAGTTTGTGATGAACATCATTTTCAAAAATGTGATGTGCTGTGAATGGTTATGATGAATACAGCATTTATTTATAACACTGAAATGCAAAGTAGATTCCCTATAGCTACACTCCATCGAAAACGTTCGGGATGTTAATTAACTCCATGATCAGTTGAATAATTTAACGGACACTGTTAATAAAATTCAATTTCAAATTTTGGAACTGATGATGTAGTAGCAGTTCAATAAAAGTTCTTGATGAAGTCTTGGTGAATGAATTTAGTTTTTTCGAGTAGTGCGTTGCCTCTGCCAATACTTGACAAAACTTAGACGCCAAGCCAAAAAAAAAATTTATTTGTGCTTCCGTAATAGCGATATTTCCAGTAGCTGCCCAATGAATCACCGAATTAAAAAATGTTTTTCAACTCACATAAAACAAAGAAATATATCTACGTATTTTTTATATATGAAATTAAGAATATAAAGGCAAGCGTCGTATCATTTTCCTAAATTCCATGCTCTGTTTTTCATATCTTGCACGTAAACAAAATTATAGCACTGAACTTATCATTTGGTTGGCCCTCAAGTCTCGCTAAAAGATAAAAAAAAACACTTCTAATGATGTTTGTCGAAGTTCAGCCTCAACCAAGTCACGGGAGACCAATTAGGTCTATTTTAATCTTAAAAGAAAATTTTTTAAATGTGGTCGAATAATGGCAGCCGCGGTTATAAATTGACGAAAGCCGCGGATTTATTCAACCCACCACCAGCGTTCAAAGTCTCTGAAATGCAGCAGCTGTTGATAAATAATAAGCCAGAGGCTGGCCTGGTCCGCTGTTGATAAATAATAAGCCAGAGGCTGGCCTGGTCCGCTGTTGATAAATAATAAGCCAGAGGCTGGCCTGGTCCGCTGTTGATAAATAATAAGCCAGAGGCTGGCCTGGTCCGCTGTTGATAAATAATAAGCCAGAGGCTGGCCTGGTCAGATATTCAAACGTCTCCTAGAACGACATCCTTTATTTGATGATGCCAAGTAATTCTCAATTTATAATTACTAATATTCTACCTGATTTTCTATTTCTGGACTATAAATTTTATTAGGTTGTTAATAGAGGATTAAGTTTAGTATTTCCAGATATATCGCACAAATATATCTGTATAATAATATCTAACGATTACATCTCAATTCCCATTTCAAATTATTTGATCGCTATAAGAAATCGGTCAAGAAAATTAATTCACGACACGTTTTACTAGAATAGTTCAACAATAAGCAAACATCCGATATACATAATTTTAGAAAAAAGTAAAATCTACCTATATCTAAATGATAATTTGATTAGAATTATTTAAATGTCATCTGTATTTCCTCTTCCATTCTTTATATACGCTTCTGACGATTTATATAATAATGACGCATCTATTTATATAAAACGTACACATGGCAGATGCTCGATGATAATTATTGTTTTAACCACTAATCCAACATTCCTTAACATCCCCGTTTTTCGTACAAATAATAATGTTAAACTTCCGAATATACTTATAATTTATTGCCATGTTAACTAATGAACCCACCATAGTAAACCTAATTGAGCTTTAATTAGCCACTTATGAGTTTGTTAGAAATATTGCTTTCGCTCGGTTTTTGCAGCTGAGTTCGCACCTACAATGCTGGACCGGAGCAGCGATGATGATGACGCGTAAAATATGTTTCTGTGTAAATCGAAATTTGTTGAATACCGCCTGCTAGCAAATACAAAACTAACAGGTTGGCATTTACTTAAATTTAGATGAGTCCTATTAACTGAGGAGATGGAAACTTATTTTGGACATGTTTGAACTAGGGAACAAGTGAACAAATCGTATGGATAATTGTTTAAACAGCAATCGTTTGTCCAAGTAGAAAAGAGTTTCGACCTTCAAGGCAAGTTGACTTTAATCAAGTAAAATATTTGGTTCAATAAACTTTTCAAATCTTANTAATTTCATGTTGACATATATTCATGAGCACTAATTTCATGTTGACATATATTCATGAGCACTAATTTCATGTTGACATATATTCATGAGCACTAATTTCATGTTGACATATATTCATGAGCACTAATTTCATGTTGACATATATTCATGAGCACTAATTTCATGTTGACATATATTCATGAGCACTAATTTCATGTTGACATATATTCATGAGCACTAATTTCATGTTGACATATATTCATGAGCACTAATTTCATGTTGACATATATTCATGAGCACTAATTTCATGTTGACATATATTCATGAGCACTAATTTCATGTTGACATATATTCATGAGCACTAATTTCATGTTGACATATATTCATGAGCACTAATTTCATGTTGACATATATTCATGAGCACTAATTTCATGTTGACATATATTCATGAGCACTAATTTCATGTTGACATATATTCATGAGCACTAATTTCATGTTGACATATATTCATGAGCACTAATTTCATGTTGACATATATTCATGAGCACTAATTTCATGTTGACATATATTCATGAGCACTAATTTCATGTTGACATATATTCATGAGCACTAATTTCATGTTGACATATATTCATGAGCACTAATTTCATGTTGACATATATTCATGAGCACTAATTTCATGTTGACATATATTCATGAGCACTAATTTCATGTTGACATATATTCATGAGCACTAATTTCATGTTGACATATATTCATGAGCACTAATTTCATGTTGACATATATTCATGAGCACTAATTTCATGTTGACATATATTCATGAGCACTAATTTCATGTTGACATATATTCATGAGCACTAATTTCATGTTGACATATATTCATGAGCACTAATTTCATGTTGACATATATTCATGAGCACTAATTTCATGTTGACATATATTCATGGGCACTAATTTCATGTTGACATATATTCATGAGCACTAATTTCATGTGCGATCTTTACG